AAATAATATTTTTACTTTGCAATAGCCATTGCATCATAAATCATATCTGACATATCAACAGCAATAACCATTTTAGCATGTCCATATTTAACACATGCCATTGAAAGTATACCTGTTCCACATCCAACATCTAATACAATTTTATTACGAAATATATCGACATTTTCTTTAATTGATTGTAAATAACTTTCAGTACGAACTGTATCCTGAAATGAAAAGAATATCAGCAGATAAAAATAAATCTACTTTTTACTTACCATACCTGAAGCATATCTTTATGAATATCATAATGATTATATGTTGCAAAATAACCATTATCTTGAATATCATCTTTTGTTTGAGCTTTAGGAGTTGTTGTTGTTGCACCAGTAGATTGATCATCTAATAATCGAGATGTCATTGATCTATGAAAATAAAATTTCGATTATAGGTATTTATGAGAAATGTCAACTAATCGAAATTATAACGGATATTCGCCAATGGGCGTAAGTTCAGTGGATTTTCGCTAACTGTATTAACATAAGATTAGTACAAAATCAGGGGCGAATCCAGAATTTCCATGAGGGGGTGGCGGTTTACAAAAAAAAAAAGTAGAAAGTACTATTATTTTTTAGGAGAGAAAACTATAGTGTTCTAACTGTTTTCAGTATTTGTCAAAGTATCTATTTTTGAGGGGGTGGCGGTCATCGGTTCGCCGAATAGCTAGATCCGCCAGTGTATAAAATGCCTGTGACCAATCAACCTAGTATTATCAGAATAAGCATATTATAGCCTAAACCACTCAATATAGTTACCAGGAGCTATTTTTATGCATATGCAATCACGTAATGACACTGGCGAAAATCTTATTGGCGAAATTGTGGAATCTCAACAGAGATAGTTAAACGATGTATGTATATAATCTCGGTTACAATATATTAGTATCTTCAATCACTTTTTTCTTGAGTGACTAAAACGAAACAGTCTCACTGTCACGCTAGTCTGAAAGTAGATATCACATACTACAGAAACTATTGTTTTATTTTCCTAATGGAAGAATAAGGAATAATTCGAAGGTCCTCAATTCATCAAAAAATATTTGTTTCTTCTCATCTGATTTTACCTTGTCAACATATTTTTCTTTAATTAAAAATATATGAAGATTTATCTAGTGCGAATTACTTTAATGTATCAACCATTTCTTCTAATTGTCGAATTCTTTCATTTGCTTTTTTTAATTGATTGTTTTCTTGATCATCTGTTGATGATATTGCTAAATCACCGAGTTGACTTAAATCTTCTTCAATGTCTAAATCAAATATAATTAAATTAGAATTTACTTGTTTGTTCTTGTTTTTAATAATTACCAAATTGTAATGCTGGATCATTCTCAATAACTGTTTCAAAATATTTATCATCTGACCATGGTGGAGATTTCGATGACTTTAATTGTTTTAAATCATCAATGGAAGGTTTCTATATACAAAATAATAATCAAAATATTTCATTAGAAAAACACAAACTAACTTCATGACGAATATAATTAATTAATCGAATATAATCATATTGTGAATGAATATTATGTTTTTTAAGAAATTCTATAAGATCAAATTTCGATTGATATGTACGAAACATTTCAATAACATTTGAAAATATATCTGTTGAAAATAAACCTTGTACTTGTTCGAGTATATTTATTTCTTCTTCTTGTTCACCAAATACATTCTCTTCTTCAACATTATCATCATAATCATCATCATCTGATGCTGATGCTGATGATGAATCTCGTTCACATTCATTCTTATTTATTGATGACATATCTAAAAACAAAAAAAAATAATATATCTGTCACGAAAAACTAATATATACTGTTCACAATTTATATAAAATAGATTATACAAATAAAACAAAAATATTAGAATGATGTTTATTTAGTTGAATTTTCAACGGATGATGAAGATGATGGTTGTTTTCGTAATGCCATCATTATTTGACGTCTTGCTATTCGATCTAATTTATGTATACCGGTTAAATGTTGTCCCATATGACGAGTTGAAATTGGAGATTTCCAACAAATTGCTTTTGGATGTCGTAAAGGACATTCAACGTAAAATGTATCATTTAATAATTGTTCATCGGGACGAAATACTTGTTCAGTCTTATTTTTAACTATAGCTTCGGCTAAACGTTGAGCACATGAACGTTTCATTTGATGATAAACAACTTAAAGAGAAAGAGAAGAAAAGTTTCAATCTTCAGTTCTATTAAGATCTAGTTATTTCGCTGATAAGTAGAGTTCGGAACCTTTCAACTTCACCCTCAAGTTAAATAATAATTTAATTTATACGAACCAAAATGATCATATAAACACACATCTTTTGGTGTAACTAATGGTGCGCCAATAGGTTGATTAGGTTGTGTACATAAACGAATTTTATGTTCAGCTATAATACCAAATTTTCCATATTGATTTAATGGACATTGTGCACGATAAACTGTTGGATGTGTTGCAATAAGACTTATAGATTTCGATGAAAATAAATCAATATCACCTTCTTCATTCTGATCAGCAAATAATCGAACTATCTGCATTGCTGGAGAGTGTGTTAATTGATGATATTGTATTAAATGTTTATCTAATCATCAAGAAGAAAATATCTGATATAAAAGACTGTAAAAAAAAGAAGGTTTTCTAACATAGATTAATAGGTGCTGTTACACGTGTACATGGAAAATGACGAATTCCATGTTTTATTGGATCAAGACCATATGTACGTGTTGTTAATGGACAACATCCATCATATTTATAACGTTTAAGTTGGAGAATCTACAGAGAACATTGTTCAGCGCGAAGAAAAGAAAAACGATTTTTTTACTGTTAATTTTTTTGTTGAAACTTTATTATTTTGGTCTATTTTTGCATATGAATGATCATCACTAGAAAGAAAAATGAATATTATTTAAAGTTTCTTTTTTTTGTCTTACTGATTTATATGAAGATTTTCATCGTTATCTCTATGATTTGAGATCTTTGCAGATTGTGCAGATATTTCTTTTTCATGTAATTCACATACATCGACATCATTGGAATCATCGAGAGAAGAACCATCTGAATGATGAATAAAATTATTTGTTCTCTAGATTTTTATTCTTACCATTGAAATATGTGGAATATGATTCATCATCTAAATGTTTAACTGTATGAGTAGTATCGTCTAAGAATTAAATTCATATTAATATTTTTTGTAATTATAATTGAATATTATTTACCGATAATTTGATTTTTATATTTATAATTTTCATATTCATTGATTAATTGATCAATTTGATTGAGAAATAGAATTAATTGTGGTGTTGATTGTTGACGTTCAATTTCTACATCATATAATTGTATTAATCTTGATCGTTGATGATAAAGACGTTCAATAAGTTCTTGTGAATGATTAACAAATAAATTTGAATTTTGTGATGTTGATAAAATATCTTGTTTAGATTCACGAAATGAATTAATACAGAGAACTAATTGAGTATTTGAATCAGTTGAATGTGGTAAAGTATGTGAATGATTGAGAGATAAAGAAGTGATTGTGGTCATCAGTAAAATTTAAATGTGGACTCTTTGGATAAGAAAAACCTTAAAGGATAGGAATTTATATAATCGACAGCTGATCAAAAATAAAATTTAAGGAGGTTCAGTGAATAGTAATAGTAACCAATCTGATTGTCGGATTTAGTCCGGATGAGAGAGACATCTGTAAAAAATATGTTTCCATCTAAATAAAGATTAACTATCATTTTATTGTATGTATAGATGAGAGAATACTTAAATCGTATTTTAAATCTTGAAACATTGCATTCTTTTAAATATAATTGAAACTTTGTACTTGAAATATGAAACTATTGAATTAATATTATTGCTATTAAAGATAGAGAGTAGCACTAATTGCATCATTTGTATGACTTCTCTGTTTGAAATATAATATAAACAAATTTTTGTACTATTATATATTCAGATCACTCCATCAATGTATAGCCCTAGATGTTTTAATTTCAGAATATTTATTGTACCATATAGATAATTAAGTAACGAGAAAATGAAGAATTGGAAAGTTATACAGTAGTACTCCCCATATAGATATTGGCAATTCAAGGAAATCAAAGACTTATATGAATAAAGTATCGGTAAAGATGTGGGTAAGTACTTCTTTTATTATCAGTCTCTCATGCACGCTAACATCCCATTCATAAGAGTTTTCAGTTTTCTTAAACTTCCCGCGTCAAAAAAGTAATCTCGAAATTTGGAGTTTACGAATATCTAGTTTTCAACGAAAATCTCAGCTCAGAACTTTTACCGTCTGTTCCTAATTGCTCATATAAATACTCTTGGCTACTCTGAGTCGACCGATGTTATTCAAGAAAAGAAACATGGAGTTAAACGTTAGAATTTGTTGAAATACTACAAAGTCGTAAACTCCAAATTTCGAGCTCACCTTTTTTGACTGATTTCCTTCAAGTTCATTAATATTTCTCTATTTCTCCGTTTATTTATCATCGAGAAGACTTGAAGAGAACATTTTTGCATTTAAAACTAGTGATTAAAAAGCCAACACAAATCGAGATAAGAAAACTTAGAATCTAGTGTGAACTTTATTTATGTCATTTTCAATTGCATTTTATTAAACTCTTGTTAAACAACAAACACAAGCGCAAAGACACACACAAACACACGCACGCGTACAATAACATTTTCATTGTAAAATTCTTTTCAATTCATTTTTATTTTCTTTTGAGCATTTTAATAAACTCATCGTCATCACTATCTGACTTCTGTGTCGATGGTGGAGGTCTTGTTGGTGCTAATGAACGTGAATTAGCTGGAAATAATTGAGAAAAAGGACTTTTAGCTTGTGCTCCATTTCTTGATGCAGTTGTTGTTCGACTACTTTCATTTTCATCATTGTTCACATTTGTAATTCGTTCAATTTCACTATCAGGCCCATCATCATCATCATCACTTAACATTAATGAATCTTTCATAACTGTTGGTGATGGTGTTATTTCAGTAAGTGTAGCTGATTTTGGTGGTGGTTGTTGTTGTTCAATAGCTAATCTACGATAAAGTGGTGCTGGTGCTGGTGGTGGTTTTGTTATTGTTGTTGTTGGACGAATTTGATTTTGATCATCTGATGTTAATATTGGTGGGCCAAATGGATCAGCTGCATGAGGAAATGTTGAAAGGTTTGAACTAACACGAATATCTGTTGCTTGATCGCCATATTTATTACGTGTACGTGCCCAATCAGCTTTAACATCAACTTCACGTTGTTTTTCAGAGAATGAAATAAATGTTTTTGTTGTTGATACACATACTAATTGATCACGATTTAATTGATCAAATCGTTCAATCTATATATACGTACACATAAAATATGATTTTTTTTTCTCAAAAATAATTCTTACAATATGTCCATTTTCATCAAATAATGCTTGAATTGGTTGCATTAAATTCAATTTCATTTTAGCAGCTTCCATTAATTCATTTAAATTACTACCAAAACATTGAACAGCTGTTTCTTTTGGTTCACCATTCAAATAGATTAAAGTACGTTTCTAAAAAGAAAAATATCAGAATCAATTTTCTTGTTAGAACAAAAAAACAAAATACAATTTTTGAATGTTGTGCTAAACGATCAGTTGCAGCTGATGAAATTGGTCGTGTTACTTCAGGTTGTTGTGAAACCAGAAGTTCACCTAATGAATTCTGTACAAAAACTAATTAAAATAATATCTGATTAATAAAATAAATATTTACTCTTAATAATTCTACATCATCTTGTTTATCAAGTTCAGCATCTGATTTTTGTGTCCAATGTCCTTGTTTAATAACAGGTACATCTGGATTTTGTTGAGGAACAAGTTCACCTGTTGATTGACCTGATATACGTCGTCCTAAATAAGATTTTTAGAAGCATATATATATTAGAAAATAAATAAAAACCTTTCAAAAGACGTAAAGCATGTTTTTCTCGTTCTAATTCATGTACAACAGGTGTTCGTTCTTCACGTTGCATAAAGCGTTGATTTTGTTTTTGATCTGCGTCTATAATGACAGAATGTTTTTGTTTGAAATAAAAATGAAATAATTTTTTTTTAACAAACCAGAAGGTCGAACGAATGCTTCGCCAGATGAAACCCATACTTCAATAGGAAATTTTAATAAATAACTCATATCAACATCGATAGCTCGTGTAACAGAATTTTGTTTTATTGCTCGTTTTAAATCTGATGCTTTTGGTAAACCTTGAAAATGTTGTTTTGTTGGACTTAGATCACGTAATTTACTTGATAATGTTGTTTTTTCTGATTGATTATCAAGACTTGATCGTCGTTGTGAATCAGGAACTATTGAAAAATTTATATTAAATTTTAAAAAATAGAAATTATAAAGGAAGTGGGACTTTTTTCATAGGCTATATCCTTCGCACGATTTCGTTTCTTTCAATTATTTTTTTATTGAGACTAATGTGAGAATATATAATCATTTCGTGGACTAGCGAAAAAATGAATATTCTAAGGAAAAGCCTATTTCCATAGAAAACGCGTCGTATTTTGAGATTTTAGTTATCTACAAATGATCATGTCCTCTTGAGTCCGCACATTAGTCTCGATAAAAAAATAAGCAAAAGGAAAGAAAACGTGCGGAGGGGGAGGTATAGGTGCCAGTTCTTTTAATTTACTTTTTGGTGGTACAGGTGTGTCTAAGTCAACTCTATCAAGAAGTTGTGTTTCTGAAAATAATTATTAGTATTTTTGTATATTTGAACAAATGAAAAAAAAACAACTTACGTGTTGGTTTTGATATTTGATTAAAACGTTTTTTATAATATTCTGTTGCCCATTGAATAAGATCTTCAATACTTAACATGACGTTACCATCGATAACATAAAATCGTCGAGCAGCATTTGTTAAATCCAATCGATGAGTAGCTTGATCAAGTAACTAGAGATTATTGTACAATGTATATTATTCATTTACTAATTATTAATACTTACACCAATAATACTTGAACCAATTAAAAGTTTACCTTGTCTTGTATGACCTTCACCATTACGATAAGCAAGTAAATGAACAATTTGTATTGGTTTTGCTGCAGCTAATTCTTTAGCAATATTTCGAACACTTGCTTCTTGTCGTAATCTTTAAATATAAATATTAGCGAGAAATTTTTAAAGATAAATATTTACTGTTCAAGTTGTTCTTGTCGTTGAAAAAGTGTATTTTCAGCTTCATCTCGTGTTAAATCAACTTTATGATTAAGACAATGAAATGGACCATGAAATTTCAGATCAAGTCCTAAATAATAAAATAATTCTAATATTTCTGTATATAAAAGATGTTTACTTTTTCCAATAACACAAGTAAATTTCTTATCGGGTTCGATTTTAACTAAACGATATTTTCCACGCATTGCTTGTGCACAAGCAAGACAAACAGGTACATCTTCTGATTGATCATTATTATTTAAAATTGATACAATAAATCCCTTTTGAGTAAAAAAAAACGAAATATATTTTTGTCAAAATTCATTCTACTTACTGGTTGTGATAATGCTTCATAATTAACTGTATACGAACAAATATTTGCTCGATTCGCTGCCGTAATTTCTAAAAAGAAGATTTTTCTTATTATTGTACTATTCAAAAATAGAGAATTATACCTTTATCCGTTAATGTTGCATTAAATGGAAGTAGAAATCCAAGTGTTTCATCATATGCCCATTTTTGATTTGCACAACCATTTTCTTCATATCGTCTTGGTTGTAATGTTATTGGACAACCAATACAAGAAATATTAACATCACTTGATTCATTTCCTGTACATGATGGAAGTAATACAGTTAAAGCCATTGTTGGTCGAGCTTTGGAAACAATTAAACTAAAAAACAAAAAAGATGAGAAAGATTTCGAAATAATGAACAATTATTGATTTACAATGGTTTTGTAAAATCTACATCAATTTCATTTTGATCTTCATCATTCAATGAAATAAAAACCCATCGTTGAAATATATCATCTGCATTTCGACGTTTTAATATAACATCGACAACTTTACTTTCAATTTCTTTAACACCAAAAACTAAATTTGAATCATCCATACATGATATATAACCACCTGTTGGTTCCCAACGAAATTTTTGCATTGATATTGCAACTGATCTTGGTAGTTTTCGAGGTTGTTTTGATAAATTTAATCTAATTATAAACATTCATTTTAAAATCAGAAAAAGAAATAATAAACTTACGTTTCTGTTGATCGTGTCATTGAATTATCTGGTGGTGGTACATTTATACTTGGCATAATAACATCATCATCATCTGTATCCAAATTTAAGCTCTTATTAGCAATCTTTTCCCATGGCCAAGGAAATGCGTCCTTGGATTTTTTATCAGAATTTCCTGATTTTTCCCATGGATAATGAAATTCTTCTTTGGATTTTCTATCCATATTTTTATGTGCTCGTTCATGTGCGGTTCTATAAAAATAAAATATTTTATTAAAACTAATCTCTGTTTTTGCCAAAACATTCAAATCGTGTTATAATTCTGTTTTTTTTTTGCAATACACACATACACACACGCACGATTATTTATACAAAACATATAGTGAGCAAATACATACTCATCGCTAAAAAAACGAATAGAATAAAAGAGAGATAAGTAAAACATGCAAGATAAATTAAGAAGTATTTTATAAATCAAGAGAGAAGGTGAAGATTTTTATTCTTACCTTGGTTCTATGTCAGTTGGTGTTTCTTCAATTGGTCCTTCATTTTCAATAACATGTGCAATTGATTCACCTTGTTTAACACGAGCACGTTGTTTAGCATTTAAAGCGCATCGACTTAGAATTAATTGAGAATTTTCACTGAGCCCATTTTCAGTCGATACAGCATATTCTATAAAATAAATTTACAATAGCAACAAAATGTCTCAGCATAATTCTATATATGAAAACCACATATTCTGTTCCTAGAGCAAATGTATCCGAAGATCTATAAAACATTCAACTCGATTGATGCAAAAAAA